GAATCGAGTAGATATTAAAGATACTGCTTATGAAAAAACAAGAAGCAGATGGCATTGACTTCTGGCTTTCACCCACAGAAATAGAACAGGAAAAATAAGAAATTTCTATGCCGAAGATTGGGGTTATATTGAGATTTCCACCACCCAGACAGGCAAATGCCTGGGCAGATGCGTAGGGCAGATGGGTCCTTTGACAGCTTAATATTGCTGAGTTTCTGGTGACTCTGTAGTTAGGGCAGCCAGTGTGAGACCATCTGTTTACTAGTGGGCAGGAGAGCTCACGACCAGCAGGTAGCTGCTGCTGCGACTGAGCTACAAACCAAAAGTCAAGTCCGCCATTTGCAAACCTCTGCCAAGCACAGTGGCTAGCAAATCACTAGCACATCCATAGGAAAAGAAACCACCTTTACAGTATGAGACCACGCAGAATATTCTGTGATATTCAAATGCTGTGAAACAGGTCATTCATTTAGAAAGCACTTTTGTTCTCTTCCCAACAGGAAAGGAACAGAACTTTGAATTCAGAACCATCTATTACAATAGTCCTTGCTGCACCACCACCCGCAACTGCAACTGAGTACCATTTGTTTGTTAAAAAAAATTAAGGTTAGCGACACACATTTGTTGCAAAAGGCTTACAGTGAAAAAATCTTTCCTCACTCTCCCCTCTCCCAAGGCAAACCATTTTTATGTGTATTTTTTTCTAGATGTAGTTTATGATAGACATAATTGTGTGTGTGTGTATTAAAAAAATACATACATAGCTCATACTGCAGTAAAGAAACCTGTTTAAGGTTATTAGCATATCCTAAATACATCTGACTCTGGGTTCCCTCCCTTCTTCCTTTGTGTATGATTTCTGATCTGTGGCATAGAGCCAAGATTCGTTGGTAAGGCTGTATCGGGTATTTCTGGAATGAGTCTAGTCTGATTGGTCTGTGCGTGAGACATGCTGGTTATTAAATATTCCAGATGGAATATACTTTCTTAAAGCCTTCAAATGTTTTAGAAAACCATGAAATGTAGGGCTGGGTACCTGAGGAGGCAGAAATAATGGGACTGCAGGAGGTAAGAGAAAGAGACTACTGATACTTAGTTGGATTTAGTTTCAGGATTAGTATGGAAGGAAATACCCCGGAAGCCCTCACTGTAGCTCCTGACTGACGATAGAGGAAAATTTGATAGAGGGGAAAAGCAGTATCTCGAGTACCAGTGCATTTCTCATCTAGAAGTTTGACTTAACATTTTTGAAAAAGATTTCCTACATCTTTAGTTAAGTTTCGAACATCTGTTTATGTGTCTATGAATTCTAACATTTTTATCAGTTCTGGGTTGCTTTTGCATGCCTGGTAATCTTTAGCTGGAACAGACACTGAATTTTATCTTGTTGGGGCAGGCATTTTACTGTTGTATTCACGCTGTGCTAGAGCATAGTTAAATTACTTGCAAGTTGTCTGATCCTTTTGGGTCCTGCTTGTAGAATCAGGCAGCAGTAAAGCATTCTCTCCCTAGCACTGAGGCCAAATGTTCTGAGTGCTCCACCCACAAACCTGTGAATTGCAAAGCTCCTAGCCTGCCTGTTAGAACAGAAATGATTTCCGCCCAGTGTGAGTGCTGAGCCTGTTTACTCTGGTCTTTCCCTGGCCTCCATAGTTTTTCTCTTCCTTGTCCCTCACCAGTTCTCTCTGGACTTCCCTCTTCTCTGGTACTCTGTCCTGCATGTTCAACTGCCTGTTCTCCCCAGATGCCCCCGCGTGCACTGTGGCCTGGAAGTTTGCCAACGGCGATACTGTAAGTCATCAATCATCATTGTTGATAGGGTCTTGGAAATTGCCATGACCCTTGAACAACATGGCCCATGCAGTCAAAAGTCTGAGTACAGATTTTGACTTGCCCAAACCCTCATTAATACCCTGTTGACTGGAGGCCTTGCTGATAACATGAACTGACCCATATTTTCTGTATTCTTACATCAGAGAAAGAAATGCTAGGCTCATCACAGGGTAGAGAAATATATGCTTCCAGTACTGTATTGATATGAGGCGGATCATCTATGAAATGCTCCACTCCTCCCCAGCTGCCATACATTATTGGATCTGCATGGTTCAAACCCATGTTGTTCAAGGGTTGACTGTATGATAAAATCACTTTTTCCTTGAGATGATTCATATAAATAAAAGTTCCTAAGACTTACCCTTGGGAACAAAAACATCATCAACCTTCTAAAATAAAGATCCCAAACAATTCTAACATTTTGTATGCATTTGTTCATTTACTTCCAACCCTGCTGTTCCAGCTCAGGATTACAGGTAGCCACAGCCTCTCCCGATAGCCCAGCGTGCAAGGTGGAAGGCACCTGGGACAGGAAGCCCTTCCACCGCAGGGCACACACAATGCCGGCACTCATCTTGGAGAGGCGGAGGAAACCGGCGCAGAGGTGAGGGGGAGTTTGTAATCCCACAGTCAGCAGCCCTGGCCGAGAATCATTACCTCCCCCTCAACATCACAATGAAAAGACATGAAAAGGGCAGTATTTCAGGAGCACTGGCTGAACACTGGGGTAGTTGTAGGTTCACTCGCCCTCTGATGCCAGGGCCTTGACAACAGTGGTTTCCTATCTTCTTTGTTTTACCTTTCAGACAGGAGGTAAGGCCAGCCTTCATCTACCTTTGCCTTATTTCCATACTGTGTATGCATAGTCCTCTTGCTGATTTATGATTTGCTTTGAGTGGGAACAGTCACTATTGCAAGAGAGCCCTTGGGGAGGTGAGGTCCCCTCTGGGGCTGTCCCCCTGCTGTACATGTCAGAGGCCATGTCTTCCCTTAGGAGCTCTGGGTGATAACTCTGCATCATTTCTGTTAGACTGAATTTGATTGGCTGGTACAGGTTTGCTTTATCCCACTGATGAATATGTTTTATCAAACAGTATTTTTTGGGTTCTATTAAGAACTATTATGTGAGTAGATTAATAAACCTTTCTAATGGATGTCATCCTTAGGTATAGACTCATTGGCAAGATACATTATTTTAAAATGCTCTTGGTGGGCCTCCCTGATGGTGCAAGGGGTTAAAGTGCAGCACTATGAAGCAATCTGCAGCAACTGCAGCATGAATTCGACCCCCACCAGGGAGGTGACCCACATGGAGCAGCTGACCTCTCCTGTCTCACTGATCCCCTTGACAGTGTTTCGGTGGATGTGCCTGTTCTATTCTATCTCTGGTGAATCCGCTTGCCCCCCCAGTTCTTGTGTGCATAAATAAATCTTTAAAAAAATGCTCTTGGAGCATTTAATTACCCAAATGCCTAATTTTGGGTGTTTAGTTAGAAACAAAAATATCTCTGCTGTAAAAACGTAGTTTATTTTCCCTTCCTACTATCCTTACTTGCTTTTGGTATAGTATTATACTAGTGTAATAGGGTTCCCCCACCCAATAAAAAAAAATGACAGTGACTCTCAACTCTAGTCTATTAATGGTATGTTTGCTAGAGAATTTCTCTTAATGAAATTTAGGGAAATTACCTAAAAGTTAAAGAATTAGTCTGGCATAAGGCTTTCTTACAATTAACTAAGAGTATGGGTCACATCATTACAGTCCCAGAGGAGACCTCCCTCCTCAAGGTTACCCTGCTTCAGTGGCTACTCCCACTCAAAGCAAATAATAAAGTATGATTTTCAAAGTCCTAAATCTTTCCTTAAGAATTCAAAGACAAATTGATGACTATAAGTTGGAATTTTCTGGGGTCAGGGAAGAAAAATTTTCTTATTTATGCTTTATCTCTTAATCACTGGATAGCAACATCAAGAGTAAATTTTTAAAAGTCGAACATCTTGACAGCTTTCTCTCCTATTTGTAAATTTTAAATACATTAAAAATTTTTACATATGTAAAAATAGGATTGTTACTACACACCTCTTAGAATGCAAATGATAGGGGGAAAAAGCAATTAATGAATGAGTTCTAAAACCAGGCTGATATGTTTCCATCACTGGAAAGGCATTTAACAGGTGTTGGAAATTTGTTAAACCAGGATCCAGATTGAGACAAAAATACAGGAAAAACTTCACCAGTACAGGCATCCAAATTAAAATTCTTTTGATTGTCCATACTTTGATATAATTGTTAGGAGAATAAACCTGATTTTTGAGTTATAGATGCTTTATCACTTCCTTCTCATCCATTCTTAAGTATTTCTCTTTGTTTTATAATTATTTGGCAGATGGAAATTTTAGTAGTCATCTGGTAGAAAAAAATATCCAAACCTCATGTTCTAGATCAAAATTGACCTTTCAATGTTTAAGAATGTAAATGATCTGTGCAGTCTGCCTCTAAAGTTATACTCTAATAAAAAATGATGTATGGACACCTTATTCCAAATATATCTTCATATAAAGAGGCAAAATCATGTCTAAACACAATAAAACAAATACTGAAAGGGAACAACTATAAGCCACGATGGTAAGAATACCCCTTCCCCAAATGTTTTCATAAGCAGTCATGACATAAGTTCCATCACTAAAATGGTGCCCATAAATAACCACACGAAATCACTCCCTTGTTTAACATCATCCACACACTGGTCCACAGCACCCTGAGGACCTACTCCTTGTGTAGACTTCACTATAAACATATCAGGTGTGGCATATTCTATGGACCTCAGATGATATGCCATCACGGTTTTGCTTCTTTTAGGATTTCCTCTAGACTTTGTGGACCTACATGCCTTCCTGAACATGCTTTCTAATTTATTTTTCCATCTATGGATTTTTATCATATTTGGATTGGCAGTGCAGAAAATCAACAGTAGGAAAACCTTTCACTGTTGGCTTAGGTGGAGGCTAGAAAAATAGAATCGCTCCTAATTAAAACTAAGACTAGATGCTAATTTTACCTTGCATGAAACAACAGATGATGTGAGTTGTCCTTATGAAGGAAGATAAATCAATACACTAAAAATGGCACAAAAAGTTCTATCTCAGTTACAAAAATCAAACTTTACCTTTTGAAATGATTCACCAGGACTCCAACAAGTTCCCCAATCCGATTCTCATGGGTTGGCTGTTTGCTGAAGAGGCAGACAATGAGGTCTTTGTTGTCTTTTGTATGGAACACAACAAGTTGGTCCTTTCCATTGGAGACACTCAGACCAGTCAACTGCAAAGAGACAAGCCACACAACATACTAGGAATGGTTTGCAAAAGAATCTAAAAAATACATTTTGTAGAGGACTCTCTGGTGGTGCAAAGGATTAAAAGGATGACTCTGGTTCACTCCCCAGCCAGGGAGCTGACTCACATGGCATAGCAGATCTCTCCTGCCTGGCCTGCTGTTCCCCTCAGCAGTGTATTTCAGTTGATCTCCCTGTTCTGTTCCCCACATCTCTGGCCTGTACCCCAGTTCTTGTATACATAAAAAATTAACCTTTAAAAAATATATTTTGTAATGGCTCTGCTCAGTAACCTGATGACTTTATTAAGTTTCATGGAATGAACAGATGAAAGGAAATAAAGAGTAAGAATTAATAGAAGTGGAGAACATCAGTGAAATAGATTGTATGTTCAAAAGAGCTATAAAATAGGTAAATAGCTAGTATGAAAGAAAGAGAAGAGCTAATTACTAATACCGGAAATGGAAGAGGGGCGGGGATATCACTATTGACCATAGAGATTAAAAAGATAATGGAGTATAGTCAACAACGTACATTAATTCAACAGCTTAGACAAAACAAAGCAATTTTTGAAAGCTACAAACTAAATTCAGAAGAAAATTTTATCTCTTTAGAAATTTAACTTAACCCAAATAATTTCACTGGTAAATTCTCTCCATATCTCTATTAGAAAATAGAAGGACCCTATTATAACTCATATGATGAAGCCATCATTATTGATAGACACAGGCAGTAGAAGAAAGCTACAAACCAATATCCAGTGCCCTTCATGAACAGGGATGTAAGAGTAGCCAACAAAATATTAGCAAACTGAATTTAAAAATGTATAGGAAGAGGCCCTCCCTTATGGCACAGCGGGTTAAAGCACAGCACTGAGAAGCTAAAGCCACTTCCGCATGAGTTCGATTCCCGCCTGCCCTGGAGGTGACCACATGGCGAGGCAGACCTCTCCTGACCCGCCACTGCTCCCTCAGCAGTGTACTTCGTCGATCTGCCTGTCCTGCTCCCCACTCTGTCTCTGGTGAAACCTCTCGCCACCCCTGAGCCTCTGGCCTGTACCCCAGTTCTGTATGTACAAATAAATAAATCTTTAAAAAAAAATGTATAGGAAGTATACCATGAAAACACACCACAATCAACTACAGTTTATCAAAATGCAAAGCTAGTTCAGTATTCATAAATTCATGAATATACTCTATCATAGCAACAGAATAAAACAGAAAGCTACCTGACCATGTCAACTGATACAGAAAAGGCATTCAACAAAAACCTCTCCTCTATTCATGATAAAAATCTCTTAGCAAACCCAAATCAGAAGATAACAATGAATGACATCTATTAAAAACATCACCACTAACACCATGTTTAGTGGTTAAAGGCAATGTTTTTCCCCCAAGAGTGGGAGCAAGGCAAGACTTTCCACTGTTACAGCTGCTATGTAGCATCACACAGGTCCCTGCCTAGTTAAGATATTTTTACAGAAGTGAAAAGGCATACAGATTGGAAGGGAAAAACCAGTGCCTCTTTTTAGACTACATGCTCACCTATGTAAAAGTCCCTAGGAATCTACAAAGTAGTTGTCAGAACTAGTAAGTGGGCTTAGTAAGTCACTAGGTAAATGGAAACTTACAAAAATAATTCTATATACTGGCAATGAACAATTTGGAACATATTGAAAACAAACACCTATAGCAACTCCCAAAACAAAAATACTTAGCTATAAACCTAACAAAATGTGTGTAGGACCTGTTAACTGAAAACTACAAAATGCTGATGAAAAGAAACAGAAAGGAATAAAAAAAACAAAACAAAACAAAACAAAAAAACCTAAAACAGAAAGCAATAATATACATAGGGGCTAGTAAACACTAGTAATATGCCGATTTCTTCCAAATTTATCCATAGATTTAATGCAAATGCGACCAAAATCCCAACAGGATTTTTTGTGGACATTAACGAGCTGATTCTAAAATATGTGTAGAAAGGCAAAGGAACTAGAACAGCCAAAACAATTGATAAAGAATATAGTTGGAAGACTCCCAGTAAATGATTTTAATACTATAAAAGCTACAATAATCAAAACAATATCATTGTCAAAAAGATAGTCAAAGGGATAAAAACACAGAGCAGTGAAATAGGATGGAGGGTCAGAGATAATCTAACACAAATGAGTTCTTTAAAGGTATGAAGGCAATTCAAAGGAGGCTCCTTTGGACATTTGGCTTATGTGGAACATTTGGGTATCCATATGTCAAAAGAGATAAACACTGACCTAAAGTTAATGTCATATGAAAAAACTCAGAGTGAATCATCGATTTAAGTATGAGATGTTAAACTATAAAATGTTTATGAGAAAACATAGGAAACCTCTGTAGCCTAGAATTGGGTAGAGATTCTTTGAAATGACACTAAAAGCACAACCCATAACAATGAGAAAATATTCAAACTTTAAAGGAGAATGAAAAGATTAGCTACAAACCTGAGAAAATATTCACAAATATCTGATGAAGAACTTATTTCCTGAATAAAGAACTCTTAACACTGATCCATAAGAAAGCAAACAACTCAGTTTAAAAATGGGCAAAAGTGTGGTGATGTACCAAAGACAACGGAAAGGAAACATGTGAGAAGATGCTCAACATTGCTAAATACTAGGGAAATGCACATTGGAAGTATATGAAATAGGACTACAAACCTACTAAACTGGCCAAAATCAAAACAACAAAAAGAGTGACAATGATATGCCAGTAAGGATTCAAGACTGGGACGCTCATATCGTTGGTGAATCACTGGAAAAAGTTTGCAATCACTCAAAAAGCTAAACAGAATTATATGACCCATTTTATCCTAGACAAATAAAAATTAAAAAAAATTCTTAATTTTTATTTCTTGGTAGAAGAACTAGGGTGTAGGCCAGAGGTGCAGGGCGTGAGAAGATTCACCAGAGACAGAGTTGGGAGCAGAACAGGCAGATCCACAGTGGGTAAGACAGGAGCGGTCTGCTGTGCCATGTGGGTCACCACTCTGGCTGGGATCACACTCAGGGTGTATAGGTGATAGTGCTGAGATTTAACCCCTAGGCCACCAGGGAGCCTGAGAAATAACAAATTATGCATTAGTCACAAGCTTACACATGTTTACAGAAGCTCTAGTCATAGTCAATCTAAACTGGAAACTGGAATTTCTGCAAAGAAGTGAATGGATAATCCGGTTGGGATGCATCTGTACAATGGAAGGCTATTCAGCAATAAAAAGGAATAAACTAGTGAGGCAAATCATTGCTGTGGAACTTACATATATAAGTTTCAAAGGCATTATGCTGAGTGAAAGCAGCTGGTCTCAAAAGTTTACAGTGTATGACTCCATTTCCATGACATTCCTTAGAAGACAGCTGGAAGAATGAACAGCAGCTCAGTGGTTGTCAGGGCTTGGTGGGAGGGGAGTCCTGCCAAGGGGGTGTCTCCTGGCTACCCTGAGTGTGCAGTGGTTACACTAATCTACCATCTGCTGAGACTCAGACACATTTATCACTATTACCACCAAAAGCCAGTTTTATTTATCACCTGGAAATCTAAAAAAAAATATAGCTCCTTGAATGTTTTAATTCCTACATATTCCGCTTTGGTGAATAAAGCAGAAGCCTGAGTGACTGCTCAGAATGTAGCTTGTTTTTCTATTGCAGAAAATACCAAAGTGCCACCTCCTGGCCACCACAGGTGCTGTCAGCTGGTCTGGCAATCAGCTCTGACAGGATGTCCAAGGGAGGGAGGGAGGAAAGGGTGGTCTGGGTGGGGACAGAAGTACCCAAGATACGTAAGGGTCACCTTGGCTCTAGAGGGATTCATGATCTAGTTGGGTCAGTGGAAGAGACAGACAGAAACAACTATCAGTAAATAACACTTAACCAGTTTGTACTGTGGAAGCTATTTAAGTTCCATGCCCCTATTTTACAGATAAGGAAACTGAGGCTCAATCTGCATCATTGGCAGAACTAGGAACTGGAAGACAGGCCTGCAGACGAACCAAACCCGTTCTTCCTGTCGTACTATGTGATATGAACAAAAGCTCCAACATATTCCTAAGCATTGAGTGGATATATTTTCATTGGAGGTGAGTTCTTAGCATGAGTTTAAAGAGTGCCAGACACAGTGCTTAGTGAAGAGAGGGGAAAGTATTCCAGGAATTGGAAATCATTTCACAGTTATGCAGATCAGGGCCCTCCCTGGTGGCGCAGCGGGTTAAAGTACAGCACTAAGAAGCTTAAGCCACTTCCGCATGAGTTCGATTCCCACCTGCCCCAGAGGTGACCACATGGCCAGGCAGACCTCTCCTGACCCGCCCGCTGCTCCCCTCAGCAGTGTACTTCGATCTGCCTGTTCTGCTCCCCACTCTGTCTCTGGTGAATCCTCTCACCCTCTACATCTCTGGCCTGTACCCCAGTTCTGTA